TATTTATTCATCACGAATATTCTTTCAGAGTAGCTTCATCTTTCCAAGGATTTCTCTCCTTCTGTTAATATTCAAACACATGTGGGACCAATGTCATGAAGCCCTGTTCTATTAATCCTATGCTTAGGTGAAGAAAAATGGCATTGTCCTTGCATGTTGAATTCATGATACATTTCCAAAGCTTTGCAAAAAATTAAAAGAACAGCCGAGCCCAAAATCCATGCCTAGACTTACTTTCCACTGAAAGTTATAACCAGCAATTCCCAGCAAATGAAATGAGAGCCTAAAACTGTCCTAATTCTGTTTGAATAGCTGTTGCTGTGTCTTGTTATGCGTGAAGGACACAGAAGCACAGCTCTACCAACCATTCACCTCATCACAATCTCTGTTGGTCTTAAAGGTTTGTGTCTTATAGCTCCAAGTTTTCTTTGACCCAAACACAAAATCCAGTATAAAGCATGTAAGTAATATTTGTATGCACCACAAGAAAGAATAGTTCATTGCCTGATGAAACACACTGTAACACAGGAAAGGGGCATATAGGTATAATATGAATTCAAGATCTAGCCTCATTTTTCTCACTTATAATATTAGAATGATAATTATGGGTCTTGGACCTGTTTACATGACTATTGGTAAGTGGAGAGTACACATGAAATAATACATGGGAAATCATGAAACTTACTTTTATAAAGGTAGTAAGCTGTTCTTGAACAAAGACATTAAGACCAACTGACTCCAAGAAAGACAGTTCCTACAGCAGACCCAGACCTAAGGTATTTGCTTATGATGAGCTAAAGGCAGATATCTTTCTTATGCTTTCATTGTTTTAATAAGCAACACCCACAAACAAAAGCAAAAAGCACCATTATCATCATAGTATTGGACAAAGGTCTCCTTGACTCCAAAAATTAAAAGCATCAGCTAATTTATAGTAATTCTATATTCTTTCAGTACTGCGTGTTAAGTTAGATTTCCATCCATCATAGCCCCAGAGGAATTCAATTAATTCTCACACTTTTCTTGGATTAGTAGTGCACTCTGATTAGTGTTGCATTAGCAGATGCAAATCATCTTCTGGATAAGGCAGGGGATTGAAAATTAAATAAACAAATATGCATTACTTGAAGAAGGTCACCCCCAAAAAAGTGAAAGGATTTTGTAGATTCAGCCTCCCAGCAGAAACATTGCAGTCACAAGCTACGGAAGAAACCTTTCATGGCACCAAAACACTTGGAAAGCCACCATGTTGTTTTTCTCACAAGATTGGTTGTAAACTCTTTCTAAATATGTCACACAGAAAACTGAGATCTCATCTACTTGAAACACACTTCTGTTCAATTTAATTTCCAATCTGGGGCTAATGTTTTTAAAAGGGCAAAACACCACCCTTCCTAAAATCTTTTCTCATTCATCTTTCTACACAGCTTGTTGTTTGGGTTGTATGAAATACAGATACATTAGATCTTAGAGCTTCTGTAGAACATAGTCATCTCTCACATCCCCATCCTGTAAAGGTTGTATGGGAGAAGACTTACTTGGAATGCCTTTTGGCCAGAGTATATAAAGGGATTTCCTGGAAGGAGGTGTTCATTCCAGGCACTACCTCCTTACAGATGAGTGTCAAATAGAAAAGGAGCCTCAGCATTATTTTCAAGATGTAAACATTAGCCTAATAATTAACTCTACTAAGTATTGAATTTTTCCTTTTAACTTTCTTTTCAAAATATCAAATTCTTAAAGCATTTGGTGATACAGTACAGATCCCAAGTGCCTAGTATTTTTCAGGCAGATGTTTTGTATTTTTATCCCTGGGAAGTGTAAGCATTATTAAGTAGCATCCCACCCCTATACCCCCGCTAAAAAATAATCATAATTTATTATTCAAACTTAAGCAGTATATCAAAAACAATTCATTATGTAATCAATGATTAAAATTTACATAAGAATGTTGCGCTGGGTTGATTCCCTTCCTTTAGATGTGAGTCTCCTGTCCATCTCCTCTGTCCTCTCACACATTATTCAGATATAGTTGTTATCCTTGATAAGGGGGAGGTGGCACAATGCCTTGCTGATGCTTTTCTGAGTCATTAATCCAGATTTCTTTATTTTCAACTTGCTTGGAAAAGCTTTTCTGTATATTGGTAGCTGATGGATGTCTTTAGCCAGAACCCTTTTTTTATCAATTCTTTAATGTTAACTGTTAAATTAAAATTTCGAAAGTGGGCTTTTCCTGTATTATAAAATTGGTTCATTGTTGGCTCAGAACCAAATCCTATGGACATGAGGTTGTATGTACTTCCCAATGGCCGTAACCTGAGGACTTTATTTAAACTCTCTTTTGAATCTACAGTAATTTGGTGTCTGGAGGAATAGGATCTTTATCAACAAAGAGCTGCCAGAACCCCAACTGCTTCTTGAGTAGCTGTAATAGATGAATAATGTTACAACCAACCGTGCATTTCAGTTTTTACTCAAAAAGCTTTTCACTGATGCTGGTGGTATTCCATATGCATGTGTTCATCTTGGAGCCCACTAGTTCCCATCTGACTTTCATTATTTTTTTGAGAGGATCAGTTTTACAACTGGGATCAGAAAAGCAGTCAAAGTAATTGCAAGTGGCAATCAGTGAAATATAACAATTTTAGTTTGGGAACATATGTTCTATTATAAAGAAAGTATTCTCTTTTTTTTCCTCATAGCTCCAGGAGTCATATTTTCCCAGGGCAAGAAGGGGCCATGTACAGGTTCTAGTGCTACCTCTCATATCTTGCCAGTATCCATGTAAAGTGCTTGTTCCCCTCCAGGGGTAGGCAACTCATTACATCCCAAGGAAATCTATTCTCTTTTTGATTCTGACAATTTGAAAATGCTTATGTTATTGGAGATGAAATTCTTCTCTCTGTAGTTACATCATTCAGAATGGAAAAACTTGGATCCCAACAGAGTAAACCTAAACTTCTCTTCAGATCCTCACAGACAGCTCTCATCCCCAACCCCTACATTTTCCTCTGCCAAGCTGTACTATGTATTCCTTTCTCATACAGAACAGCTTTGATTTCCTTAACCACTCTGGTCACTCTCCTTGGAAGAAGCTCAAATTTATCTGTTTTCCTCTTAAAGGTGTCACGCTGAATTAGACTTTCAATCAGAATATCAGCATCAAGTTCAAGCTCTGCTACTTACTAGATGTCAAAACTGGGGCAAATTTCTTTTTGTCCCTAGAGATAGCAAGGGTTAATAACAGAGACCTGGTCTAGAGGTCAAAGCAGGTGATAACTGTGTTAACAAGCAAGTATATAATTACAGTGTGTAATAAGTAACATAAAGTCAAGGGAATTCTGAGGTCTAGGAGTATCAATGGCAGGCTTTCTGAGATATAGGCTGAGCATTTTACAATGGGATGAAGACACAGAGTGTGTTCTAAGGTGTGGGATGGCACTCAGGTAGGAGAGAAGTGTTTTCTACCAATGGAAGCTGGACCAGTGTCTAGAGTTTAGAAGGCAGGGACGTGAATGGAATGAGATGTGTTTGGAAAAGTGTGGAGCTTTGTAAGTATTGTTGAGAGTTTGGATTTTATTGGAAGTAAAAGGGAAACCCATTGTTGGGTTTGAAGGAAAGAAGTTACAGGGTCTGAAATGTTTTCTTAGAAATTGCTCTCATGCGGGTGTTATGCTGAGTGAAATAAGTCAATCAGAGAAAGACATGTATCATATGACCTCACTGATATGAGGAATTCTTAATCTCAGGAACAAACTGAGGGTTGCTGGAGTGGTCGGGGGTGGGAGGGATGGGGTGGCTGGGTGATGGACATTGGGGAAGATGTGTGCTACGGTGAGCGCTGTGAATTGTGTAAGACTGTTGAATCACAGATCTGTACTTCTGAAACAAATAACGCAACATATTTTAAGAAAAAAGAAAAAGAAGAAGATAGCAGGAGAGGAAGAATGAAGGGGAGTAAGTCAGAGGGGGAGACGAACCAGGAGAGATGATGGACTCTGAAAAACAAACTGAGGTTTCTGGAGGGGAGGAGGGTGGGGGGATGGGTTAACCTGGTGATGGGTATTGAGGAGGGCACATTCTGCATGGAGCACTGGGTGTTATGAACAAACAATGAATCATGGAACACTACACCAAAACAAATTATGTAATATATGGTGATTAACATAACAATAAAATATTAAAATAAATAAATAAAGAAAGAAAGAAAGAAATTGCTCTCATGCTAGATGAAAAGCAGACTGCAAAGGACAAAAGTAGAGTGGGATAAGCAAATAAGAGGCCATCGTCATAATCCAAGGAAAGGAACATGTGGTACAACAGTACTGTGAGGTTTAAACAAGAAGCAATCTCTGCAGAGTCTAAGACAGATGTAGCAGACAGACTGACTATCATTAAACCAGACTCCACCAGTTAGAGCAAGTGCTTTCATCTCGATACACCTCAGTTTTCTCCTTTGTTAAAGGAAGATCCTGACAGGATATATTTCATAGAGTTGTTGTAAGGATTAAATGAGTTTACAAATGAGTTCCCTGTTAGCTAAATTTGTGAAGAATTTCTCACCGTTACACATGCTCCATCCTACACTGAGTTTTCAGATTCAGGCATTATTTTATTTCATTTTTGTCTGGCAATTGGAATAGCATGAGTGAGGAATGTGACCAGATAAATTTCTGTCCTCCTTTGCGTGCTGTATTTTACTGATGCAGTGGAGAAAATAGACAGGATGTGAGAAAAATAGCACCCTATGGATAATCAGTTATATTTTTCTTTCTTTGGTATCTACCTTGTCATATTACAGAGATCCAACACCTGGAACACCTATTTCTTTAATGTGATAGTCCCAATGAGACTATCTTGCTTAAGACCCAAAATTTAATATATTGTGATTCCTCTAGCATACTGTGGAACAATAATATAACATTGCCCTCAGGCCAGATCCCAGGCTATTTCCTCTTGTGATAGGTTCACCTCATGGAATAACACTTCTTGTTTTACAGGCATCCCAGGAAGTGACTATGTGAATGCCAACTACATAGATGGCTATAGGAAACAAAACGCCTATATTGCAACACAGGGATCTCTCCCTGAAACATTTGGGGACTTTTGGAGAATGATATGGGAGCAACGGAGTGCAACAGTTGTTATGATGACAAAACTAGAAGAACGATCCAGGGTAAGAATATCTACCTTCTCCCTCTTCAGACCTTTCCTCAGGTAGTCCCTATGCTGCATATTTTATTCTTTTCAGAATCTACCCTTTCCTTAAGCTTTGACTTTCCAACAGGAACAAATTGTGAATGGGCATCAACAACTCTGATAAAACCATTCTTTAACACTGAGTCTTTCAAACAGGAAATTCTCTCATTACAATGTGATTGTCAAATATATATATATATATACATACACTCAAAAAAGTGGACAGTTTGGTTAGAGAAAATAAATATTAGCTTGAACCTCTTTCAAAAATTCACATTGAACAAGAACATACAGACTTTGGGGGAGAATCCCACCAATATATACTTGTCAGTATTTTTAACTTTTTCTTTCTCATAATCTGCAGGGTAAGATCTAAAATTCTGTGAAAGAGGCTCTTATATAAATTATTCAAATTACCATAAATTAAGTTAGGGCAGCCAGAAAAATGATGTGGGTTAATACACAGCTGAGAAAACACATAAATGTGTAGAGGACATTTTGCTACTTTAGCCTTTTCCAAAGTGAATAGATTTTAATAACAGAGTCATTGCTTGTTAAGGTCTAAGAAGGGGGTTTTATTCATCATATGGGTCCAATATTATGGTGCATGGCACATTAGTTAAATGTTATTGATTTGCAAAACTAAAACATAATGGGTAAGCAGTATGCCATATTCCCAACTGAATATGCAAATATTGTAGCCATCTAATGAAAATCAGTCTTTAACCTTGAGAATTTAATGAAGGAGTCTCTGAAAAATCACTGAAGGCAGCACACACTCTCACTGAAGAGTAGGACATTCGGGCAGAGTTTGAGACCACTGGTGAGAGGTCTCTTTTACTGTGGTCACAGTAGTCTCAAAAAGATATTTAGAAGGAAGCCAAAGCCCAACTCCCCATTTTTTGTGGGACGGTTGAGTTTTTTTCAATGGTCTCCTAAGCTCAATACATGGCAGTTTCTTTTAGCCCAGGTATGTAGATGAGGGAAGAGTTGAAGGCTATGCAGGGAATTCATAAGGGGAAAGCTCAGACTCAGGAAAATATAAAAAGTCCCAGCCATTACTTTAAAGGTGGAAGTAAAGGATATGGTACACAACTGGTTCAGCAAACCCAAAGCGCAATCAAACCTGTTTATAACAGGTGAATTTTATAGAAATACTGAAATACCATCTGAAAAGAATTTAGATGAAAACTGTATGACTGTGAAGACAAATATCATTGTCATTCTTTACATGAAAACCCCATTAAAAATATGTAAATAGATTCATTATTGATCTGTACTCAGGGTAACCACCATATACCAAGTCCTGTAAAAATAACCCCCCACCCAATTGTTTCTGGGATATAACTCTTCATAATGCAACATCTAACACATATTAGACACATTGATATTTCACAACAATCCTGTGAGATAAACACTACTATGATCTCCAGTTTACATATGAATCAACGAAGCCTAGAACATTCCTGAGGTCACTCAAGGTCATTCTGCTCTCAAGGTCAGAGTGAGGATTTGAAGACAGGCAGTCTGGCTCCAGAACACATGTGCTTAACCATCAGGCCATATTGCCTGTTAACACTTCTGTGAAGCTGAGACAGCTGAACTATTCTATTACAGCATGCATGTAAATCCAACCTACCCAGACTGCTCTGCCTGGAGATACTGCTGGTAACAAGCAGTCATTTGCAAAAGCTGTTTTCAGTAAAACACACATTTTATCTTGACACTGCAGGCCTTCATTAAACCGTGCACAGAAACTTGTTTTGAAATAACCCAATGAAATTCTGCCCCTTTTCTCCCTAATTGCTTCTAATAATAAAGTTAGTTCTAACTGGCCCCACTGCCACCACAACATCTGATGGTAATGAGCAGTTCTTGGCGGAAGGCATTGTGACTTAAATACCTACAGTTTATCTTTATGTTGCAGGCTACCTTTTTTTCCCCACCTCAGACAGAGGAACTTATTTTGAAGTTACTAAATGAACCTCTGTTTGCTCCCTTCATTAATTACTTTTTGCTCTTGCAAGTTAGCTTTCTCCATTGTTAAATGGCCTAAGGAGGCCAATTAAAATGCTGTCTTGTGATTTTTATTCTGTGGTGGTTCAGTCTGTACCCAAACTTGTGATGACCTGCATAAGTCAATATTGAGGGGTCTCAATGTCATCAATCTGAACATACAAATGAGCCCTGGCCCACAAGGCCCCAAAGCCCTTCATTCCCCAGTCCAAAATGCTTGAGAATAAATGACCAAATGCAACCGAGAAATCTAGCAAAGCACTGGTCCCCCAAATTATCTCACCTGCTCTTCCATCTTCTCCCTCACATCCTCCCACCTCACTTTTTCCCTATCCAGTTGCTTTTTCACCTAAAGTCTAGGGTGCCAGGCGTTCCTGGATTCACAACTAAGAACTTGGATTGAGTTTATCTAAATAGTGGTTAATTGTTACTGAAATATATAGCTTTATACTTTAAGAACTCTGTGGGTTATGTGGGCTGATCTGGGGACTCAGTGAATTTTCAATTTCAAAGCAGATGTTTGAACTAGTCTGGCTTTATTTAGGGACTGCTTGTAGTCTCCCCCATAAAGAGAGGTGGTCCAGGTGGTTGAAACAAATCACCTCTCCAAGGGCTGAAGCCTGAAGTGTCATTATTTGGAAGAAGGCTCAGATTCTTGAAATAATATTCACACACACACCCCTTGGTATATAGAAAAATAAAGTGTGTGTATGTGTGTTTGTGTGCATGTGTGTGTAAACACTTCTGTGTACTACAGAATACTTGTATGCAGGAGTACATGTTGACTGGAGATTTGGTGATGGGGGAGAGCGAAGAGGAAAGGGAAGAGAGGACAGATGATATTTCACAAGACTGCCTGGGGATACCACCATCAAAGAGAAGGGAATTATATGACACAGTCCTAAATAGGGGTGCCTTGCAGTCAGATGTCTGGGTTTAGATCCCAGCTATAGTGCTTACTAGGTGTTTGACAGTGAACACGTTACTAGGATTCCTGAAATGAGACTGAAAGTCTCATTTGTCCTTTTTACATTACATAGGATTATTGTGGGTATTAACCAAGGTAAGGAATCTCATCTGTTAGGGTTTGGTTGAGACAGAGAGCTGGGAAGATGTACCAGTACAATCTCAGTTTCCCCTAAAGTGGCTCTCAAATAATTCAGTTTTTGTTCCCAAATGCAATGTGTTTGTTTCTCTGTGGCTGACAGTGAATCCTGACCAGCCTCATAGAGTCACTGCTCATGATGAATTCTGCCCACTGTTCCCAGTGTAACACCCATGTACTGTGACCAAACAGAGCTCACAACATGGGCTTCTTTTGCACTTGCCTTCCCCAGGACAGAATCTCCAGAATCGAGACACTGATGCAGGGAATTGTTAATCAGTCTGCACATGGACCACAAGGACATTCTGACTGCAGCTTCCACTGCAACCATAGCTTGAAGCAATAGAATATGAAAATAATAATATCAACATGAATTACATGTAGTAATAATTGTCACTAAAGATAATATATTCTTGATACCACGTTTACTTTTGATTCAGTTTTGCATTACCCCTCCCCATTCTCTTACTTACTTGACGGTGCTAGGGAATTGCCCCCTTAGTACCTATGTCCTGTGTTTTCTAGCTTTGTGCTTTGCCTCTCACTCAGGCCTTTGGATGATAAAGCAGCAGTGCTTAAACCTTTGCCAAGTTAGAACAGCTCACTCACACAAAAGGCTCTTGGGTTCATTAACATGTATTAGAAGTTTCACTAGCCTTTTGTTAAAGAACTGACCATTCTTAGCATTTCCTTTGCTAAAGAAGCCCTTCCAAGTGTGATGACTTAGGACTCAAACTGGTCTTTTGGAAACTTAAGTTCTTTGATTTCAAACACTCCCCCTCAAATGTGGCCTTACAAGAATTCTAAACTTAACTGAGAAGACTGTTTGCATAGTGTGTGCATTCAGCTATCAAACCCTGAAGAGAGAATGTGTACATTGAATATTTTCTGAGTTTCATTTGGATAAATAAAGAAACAAAACAAAATATAAGGCTATAAACTAGATTTTGAAAGTAAAGTACGATTGCTGCCTGAAAACACACAGATCAGTTTAAAGCCTTGTAGAATGTGCTGTGTGACATGAGATACTGTTAGTAGGTCTTATTCTACAATTTCCATCTTTTTTGCCAAATCCTCTCAAGTTCTGCATAGTTCATTGATTCTGTAGCGAGTCATTCTCTTGTGCCCTAGAATGTGGTCTCTAATTGTTTCCATGTTTCATAACATGCCAGTAAGCACATGAATTGGTTTGGGCAACCACATGGAGGGAAGAAAATTTTTGGAAAAAATGAAGCACTAGTAGGAGAGTAAATGTATACAGCTGGGATTTCCACTCCAAGGGTGTTATTTGTGGGCAAGTAAGACACATGGTTGGCAGCCTGGTTTGAACCATTGGAGGTTCCAAGGTAGGATTTGCCATGGTGACTCCTGGCCCAGGAACCTCTATTATTTTGTGAGCGATTGTCTATTTCTTTCCCCCCCTTCATCTATTTGCTTTTGGCTGTTTCTCTTCTACTTTGTTTCCCATCCTAAGGAATACAAGACAGAGGGAATGTGTAATCCTCATGCTTGACAAATTCTTCAACAGCCTTGATTAGAGTTACAAGCTGAAACAGCTTAACCAAGGTTAAGGGATAGCTGACTTTCTTTTGTCCTCACCAGCTTGCCCTTACTCACTGCCCATGGTTGAGGCTCACTGATGTTTCTGTTGTCTTGCAAGCTTTCTAATGGGAGTTGAATCACTTAAGGTGCTATTATTGTGGTATTGTGCTTTGATTAGTGCTATAAATGTTGAGGATAAGGAGTGAAATTTTGACCCTCAACAAAAGGGACATGATTTGAACTGCCATTCGGTGTGGGCCACATTGATTAGTGGTATAAGCATAGGGTTAGAAGTGAGGAATTCTACACTTGGT